TAAATTTAAAAAGATTTTTACTTGTCAGAGAATAGAGAGTTAAAAAAAATTTAAAGAAAAAGCTTCTTGGGAGAGAGAGAGATTTGTCTATGTTTCTAGTGCCTTTCTTGTCTTGATTGTATGGTCAGTAGGCAGTCTTAAATGTTTTTATTTAAAATAAAGTATTCCATGAAAGCAGAATTATATATACTGTATAATTACTAATTTTTGCATTTATAGCTAAATTAAACTGGAAATTTGCTTATAATGTTGAAATTGCCACGTGTAGGGAAAAACCTCCCACCCCACCAAATGCAAAAGGGTCCGACCTTGCTCACACATTGTGGGCAGGTCAAGCTAAAAAAGAATCACTTTATTGTTCTACTTGGTAGCTGGATTTTAAAAAGCAAAACAGCCATGAATTCCTGTTTTTTAAGAATTTTACAAATGATCACTGAGTGAACTATGAATGGTTTCTCCATCCCCTTATTGGAGTGTTGTTGAAAAACAACAAAGATAATCTATTTCTTTAAAATATTTGTGCAGAAACTGCATGGAATTCTTAAGTTTCCACTCGAACCATACATACTGTATGTTTGGGGAAGTCTCCTATCCTAAAACTTGCCAATGTGCAGAACAAAAATAGTTTTTATAAAAAAAAAAAAAAAAAGAAAAGAATGAAGAAGAGAAAAATATATATATAAATATATATATATATATATATCCATTCTGTATTTTACGTGAAGCAGAGTTATCTTCTGTAGGTTTTTTGTGTATTCACAAGGTGATATTTGTATTGTAAAACAACAATGGTGAAGGAAAATAAAAAAAGGCTTTTGAAAAATGTAGTTTCCTTTTATCTTCTTAATAATTCAGTTGAAATTTAAAGCTGGGTTTATTCTTCCAAACCTTGCCTTTAAGTTGATGTTATTGCACTGTAGGCCATCCGATGTGGACTGTATGGAAACTGCATTGATGTGGAATTGCTGTTGGGCAAAACAGTGCCTTAATTATCTGAAATAAATGCTATGCAATCGGGAGGAGCCTTCCTGGGAGCCATCTCCAGGCCTTGAAAAATCTACCCTGCAACTGCTGGGATGCAGCACAGGGCAGGGTGGGCATCCCTTCCCCCCAGAAACAAACAAAAAAAAAACAGAAAAAAAAAAGAGAAAAGAAGCCAATTTCTGTGCGTCCGTGGCGGTGAAAGTGTCATTTTTTTATTCTAATTGTTTTCCTCTTTTCCTTTTTCCTTTTTCCCCTTCCCTTCCTTTCCCTTTCCCTCTCCCTTTCCCTTTCCTTTCCCTTCTCTTTCCCTTTCCTTTTTTTTGGGGATATTTTATCTCTGCCTCTCTGCCCTGTTCCTCAGCCTTGGCCAAAACCCTGGAGAGCTGGTGGGATGCTGGTGCTGCTGCTGTTCCTTATCAGTTCTGTCTCCCTGGGAAGGCTGGATGGAGGGATGAAGGAGGGAGGGGTTCCTTGGCCAAGCCCTTTGCAACAGCGTTTGCAGAGCTGGGTGGGAATTTAGGGCTCTGCTCTGCCTTCAATTCTCTGCTTTTTGGGGCTAAAAGTCGGTTTTTCAACAGCCCAGCTGATTTTTGAGGTGATTTTTGAGATATTTGGTGCTCCCAGACGTAACCCGAGGAGTAGATTTTTCAAGACCTGGCATCACGCACACCCGAACCATTGACATAAATAAATGTATGGATATATATGCACATGACATTAAATGGAATCTGCTCAACCCTGCCTTGTGGTGTGTGACTTTGTGCATGGCTCTGGCTCCTCGTGGTGCCATCTGTGCTCAGCAGGGCAGGGAGCCTGGCAATGGGGGCTGCTGCCTCTGGAGGAGGAACCAGGGCTGGGTTTGGGACACCAGTGCTGGGCATTGGCTCACTGCAGGCTGTGGAGCCTGCGCTGCCTTGGCTGGCTGGGATGGGATGAGATGGGATGGGCCTCAGGGTCAGGGCATGGTGCTGGTGGCCAGGATCCCAAATTTCCCTCTGTGTTTTCCCCCTGTCTTGATTTGGAAAGACAGGATTCTGCTAAGGAAGGCAGGAGCCTCCCCTGAAATGGAGAATGTAAACCCTCCCCATACCTCCGAATTGCTATAAATTTTAAATTAAGGGGGGCTCAGGCAAAAAATATGGGAGCAGGAAATAACAGTTCTTTAATAGGGAGAAGGGAAAAAATAAAAGGATAAAATAAACAATGCAGTACACTAGAACAACACTGACAGAGTCAGAACCCAACCCGACACCCTGTGGGTAAGGATGCTGGTGGCAGTCCAATTGGAAATGTCGCTGCAGCCCTCCTGCAGTGTCAGGGGTGGTTCTGTTGGAGCAGGGATCCTGTAGAGAAGGATGTGTTCTTCCTCTGAAGATCCAGTGGAAGGAGAGGC